ACCCTTCCGGCTAACGTACGGGACCGAGGTAGTAATCCCGGTCGAAATAAGGGAACCGTCCAGAAGAACGAAATCCCCCTCGAAGAGGAGGCCAACAACGAGGCCCTCAGAGACGAGCTTGACTTAGTCGAGGAAATACGCTCAGGGGCTTCTCTCCAGGAAGCCACACTGAAACAGAAAATTGCCCTCCACTATGATTGCAGGGTCATAAAACGCAAATTCCAGATCGGCGATATGGTTTTACAAATAAATCCAAAGGACTCGCGCGAGGGCAAGCTCGCCGCCAACTGGGAGGCCCCCTACCGTGTCCGAGACAAGACGACACACGGGGCCTACTACCTCGAGAACATACACGGGGATGAGATAACTCGACCATGGAATACTAAGAAGCTAAAAAAATACTACAGTTAAACACTACCCACGACGACACGCCTCGCGACCACAGGAGCGAGACATGGTACAATCGCGTCTCCTCGAAATCAACGAGATAGAAAGCGTCTGCCTTTAGTGTGTGAGGGCAGAATGCTCTGTTCGACGGCGACCCCTCGACCGAGAGTCACCGCCGCAGTATCGAGGTTAGAAGAACACACAACTCGCGATGGGACGTTCACGCCGTAGGGATAGGTCCCTGACCATGGTCCATCTCCATAACCGACCAGGTAACCATACCTGTCAATCAACCAGTTCCCTACACTAGCGGGCGCAACAAGAAATGCCGAGCTACCACTCCCAACAACATAGTAAACATACAAACGAGCATAATAAACATGCGAACAAGCGTATAAAGCACACATACATGACTAAATAATCGAGCACACACCAACACTTAGAAGAAAAAATAAATTCCATAAAACGGGCACAAGCCCGACAGTCAAATATTACAAGAAGAGGCCCGAGGCCCGTACAAAATTCAAAATAACAAAACTAGACGCGCAGGCCGAAAATGTTTGGCACGCAGGCTGACAAGTCAAAAGGGGCACACAGGCCACCATTTCCTAATCTAGCTGATCATCCTTAACACGGTCCTCCTCCTCGTCCACCGAGCCGCCGGGCACAAGGATACAACCATCCTGGATCTGATGGTAAGGGCCGATCCCGTCGGTCACTAAGCCGAAGCCAGAGTTGACGGGCCGAATCTGGTCGACAACACTCTTGAAGCCCACCTCGATGACCCTCAAGCAGTCATCCTCCAGCTAACGGAGCTTCTCCACCAGCTCGCGCCGAGAAACTATTAGTCGCTCCTCTTCAGACTCCTTCTCGGCCGGGGCGACCATACCCTCGAGCTCAGTAGCATGACCCCTAACTCCCGCCAGCTCATACTCCCTTTGCTTCAGCGCCTACTCTAGCTCCCTGATACGCTCCCGGTGGACCTTGTCCTGTTTTTGGGACTCCTTCTGGTCGGCTGCCACCTTAGACCGAACCTCCTCGAATACTGTGAGCTTGCTTCTGATGGCAGCCAAATCCTCTGAGGAGCACCCCTCCTCATTCAGCACAAGGGCCGTCTCAAAATCCCTCACCACCGCGGCCAGATCCGCGGATAGCATCTTCCTCCGGGCCTCCTTGCTCGCGGACAAGATATTCCTTGCCTCCTCTGGAGCCACCATGAGAGCATTCACGCCCAAAAGTAATTTGGCCGGAGACAACAGGGGGGGAAGAACAAAACTCCGCTCTGGGGACCCATCCGTTAGGTCAATCGAAGGCACCTAGACCTCCCGTCGCCTCTTAGGGGCCGGCAGTGGAGCTGGGGAGCCGCTCCCCTGTGGGGATGAAGTCGTTCCCGCGGAACCACGACCAACTCCCTCCGAACAGCGGCAACCCTCCCTTGAGGACGTTGGTTACCCCTGCTCATCAACTTGGTTACATGTTCCTCTACGGAGCCCATTGCACCTGCAAGAAGAGCACAAGAAAAACAATTAGCGTTAAAAATAAAAAAAAACTAATAATAAAGAATAGCCGAGGAGATGCCCTACTACCTAGGAGCCCGTTGGCCCCAGCCTCTGACCGACACTCGAGCAGAGCCTTTGTATTGATAAATCAGGTCTCTATCCGTATCTCCCCATCTGTGTCACATATGTACTCCTCGTCGGGGGACACACATTTCCGAGGAGGAAGACATCCGACGAAGTCTGTCAGCTTTCTAAAATCCAAGCTATCCTCCTCCCCCAAGCGGGCTGGTCGGTAGATAAAGCTATCGGTGCTCGAACGAAAGTGCAGGTCCATCCACTCCAAGGGGAAGTTAGACTCGTAACTATCCTCGGATTGCCCGTCCACAACAATCACCTATCTCCGGAACATGGTGTCATAGGCCTCGTCCGTCCCCGGCATGACCACAAACCATCTGTCCTTGAACCCCCGCACTGAATCGGTATATGGCCGGAAGAGTCTGGTCGACTGCTTCAAAGAGATCCAGTTGTGTCGACCGACCACCGTCTGCCGCTACAGATGAAAGATGCAGAAGAACAATGAGATGGTGGCCCCGAGTTAGAGATAGTCACAGACGATTTCAAAAGTCCAGATGAAGGCGAGAGAGTTTGGATGGAGTTGGGACGGTGCCAGTATCAGGTGGTCGAACACACCCTGCTGGAAAGCCGTGAACGACATACGCATCTCCACCTTCTCGAAAGCAAACTCATACATGGGGAATCGACCCCCGTCGTACCGTGGGCATATACGACCAAACTCCCGTGGCCGGCAGGCTCGAAATTGACGGGGAGACCCGACCACCCTCTCTTCGATCACAACGAAAGCGTCGGAGTCGTCGAGGACGAACCTCAACATATAATTTAGAGGATCATCCCCGACCCACTCCTCTAGCGGTCTATCTGGGGGATTGGCGACGACCTCGTCCTGGCGACCTTCATCATCTTCTAATAGGTACCACTGCACCTCCTCTTTGTCGTGGTCCGCCATTTTACCTGAAAAGCAGAGGAACTTGGTGAATTCGACAGCCAAATCAAATCTACCCTTCCACCACAGTTCAAGTGAAAGGGCGTGGTCGCCTAGACGTCTAGAAGACGATTAGGGGGTAGCCCTGCCCCCGAGGTGCCCAGGGAGTAACCTCCCTATCCTCGGCGCACACATTCACTCGTGCCCGGGGCATTCATCAATTACCCTCGGGGAATTCAAAAGGTCTTTCAATCCTCCCCGGACTACTCATAGCAAGGGCCAAGGACAGTCAATCACTATCCTAATTTTGAAAAGACCCTCCGGCGTATTCGCTGGAAAAGCCCACGGTCATGCCGGCGCCCTCAGCGGAGCCGCCAGAAACGCTGCTGGAAACACTAAAAACACCAGAAGGGAAGCAGGAACTTACGTGATACGGTGGCAAAAGAAGCTGTCGCGTTAGGCTGAAAGATTGTGAAGGACGAACAGAAAGATTGAAGGCGCCAGACAGATATTTCAAGATGTCGAGCAACAATGAAAGAAACGAATGAACGAATGGACGAGCTGGATCTGCGTATATATATCCCTAGCATGGGAAACGAAGCATCGTTAGGCACTCGAGTACCTAGCCCGTAGCATCCCCAGGAAGACACGTGGCGATCCTCCACCTTCTCTGCGTCTCTTCAGGTTCCCCTCCTCGACCGCGGGCTCCCTCCACATCGTGGGCTCGCCTGGCCGATATGGCCACGTCCTGCCTGACAGAGCGACACACCCGACGCCCTTCGCTGCTTAAGACGCAGCTCGCTTAACCGCGAGCAATGACTTGGAGGGCTACTGTTCTGGACTGGACAGACGCTTAGCCCACAATCGAGCAAACCCCAAATCTCATTGGGTTTGGACCCAATATGACATCATCGACGGGCAGAAGATCCGTCGGGCACAACACCTTCTCCCGTCGGGCATAGACCAACAGCCGTCGGACAGAGCCCAGCCAGCATGGGGAGCTCCTCAGCCCCCCCCCCCCCCCCCCCCCCCCCCCACGTTCTCTACGTGTCCCCTACGCGGAGACACGCCATCAAGTAACTACCCGTGTCCTGATGAGTCGGTTCTCCACTTCCCGGATAGCACGAAACATTTACACTAGGGTGAAGACCACGTGTTGGTCTTCACGACGCCACGTTAGCCCTAACAGTTACCTACGTTGGACCTGGCAGCCCAGCCTAACGCAGAGTAACCATTGGCCCTGCGCCGGAGGCTCATTATAAATACCCTCTTCCACTAGAGGGTCAGGTAACCTAATTTTCTCACTCTTTTCTCTGTACTTGTTATCACTCTGCTTGTCGCTTACTTTGACATCAGAGTGTGTTTCAGATACACCCCCCTCTATCCGTCAAGTCAACAGTTCGACAGCTCAGACGCGTGGCATCCCATCGATCTCTCTGGTCAGGTACGACCATTTTTCATATTCAAACAGAACTATGATAAAAAAACACAATTTATAAATAATGTGTTTAATACATACACCTACTTACTTTGAGATGCTATTTATACTATTTAATAATAAAAATAAGTGTAAAATTTAATACACTAATATGATATATTGAGTTTATCCGGATAATAAGTTTATTAAAAGCAACTTTACTACTTTCCCAATTAGTGACTTATTTGAAATAAAAGTGTGATAAAATGAGTAATCAATTTTAATTTTTAATGGATATTTTTCAATTTTACAATTTAATTAATATTATTTTTATTATTTTTAATAATTGATAAATATATTTTAATATAAATATCATTTTCTTTTTTATTTATTTATTTATTTTTAATTTGTATGAAATAGTTAACCTGTTACTCATTGGGAAATAGAAGAAGTATATTACAATGGATTTATATTTAAAAGTTGGAAAATAGATATATGCTTTTATAATTTGCATAATTATTAGTATATTAAATTGGGTAATGCTCTACCTTTCACTTATTCATATATTTATTAGTAAAGAAAACATAGAAATATTTGCTGAGATGAGAGGTATTGAAACCTCACCATTTTATTTAACTATTGAGACCTTACATGCCCCAATTTATATTACATTATTTTGATAGGTACGAGTACAACACTAGCGATAATATCGCTTATTGGAGGAATCAAAACCACCAAAAATGATGGCTCCATTACCATTGCCTTTGGTGTAACCAGTGTTGTTTATAAGACCTGTCATGTTTTGGGTGCCTTTGTTGTTAAACGATGCAGGGGACTGCTTCTGTGGCTTGACTCGTTGCTGAGGAGTAGCAGCGACATCAGAGTTGGGTGAGTGTCGGGGCTGTGTCTCCACCGGTTCATCGTCAATGTCAGTTTCTGTTTCATTGTCATCGTTGCCGTGGTCTAAAAGACGAAGCAGCTGCAAAAGAGATCTAGAATTTGCCATTGTTAGTTATTATAGCAAACACTAAAATTGATTTTTGTGGCTTATCTAAGTTATTTGGTTTGTCTGTGTTTAATAGGCTTTTATATGTAAGTGAAGAGGAATATTGCGGTAGTAGCTTGCACAATAAGCTAATGTCAATTATTTTTATGCTATTATAAAGTAATAATAATTTAAAATTTGTTCTTTCAAAAGATATATTGTGGAATATGATTCCCTTGAAATTTAATTAAAAATTTATTATTCATGCATTAAAATAGTGTTCTGTTATGAAATTAGAATTAGGTGTAAGTTGATGATGTAAAATTTTAAATTGATTTCTAATTGCGTTATTATATATTCGTTCAAACTTGAAAACAAATCAAGATAAGAAATGTTTATTCATAAAAAAAAAAAGTCTAAATTACATTAGACGAATCCAAATGCCTGGTTGATTTTTGTTTGGGGATCTTTTATACAATTTGTGTAAACGGATAAGAGAATTATATCCACACACAATTTGAAATTTTGTGCAGTCATAATCTATATATGTTTGTGTTTCTTTGATTGGATATGACAATCCAATTGAAATTATTCTCCTTTAAATTAATAAAAGCATCTCTCTTTAGTTACACTATATATATATTTTTTTAAAACACAACATTCAATTAAGAAAACATTAAGAGACAAAAGAAAAGAGTTCTACAGTTTAATCTAATATATTTTTCAAAGGGGTTAGCCTAATCTTCTTAGAAAAGTGTTAGATATTTTTAATTGGTGAATAATGAAATTTTTTGAGTCGGATTATGTTTTAATATCTTAAGTGATGAAGTGAAAGGAAGAATGTTTTGAGATAGTAGAATTTATAAATTAACTTATTAGTAGATGGAGGTCTGCGGTGACATAGTCGATGTCATGGTGGATCTGACTCGATGGTGGAGTCGGTGTTGTGGCTGGTTTGGTCTTCGATGTGGTCGATGTGGTGTTGGAGTCGGTGTCATGGCAGATATGTCACTGATGGGTCGATTGTGGCCTAGTCGATTCCGAGAGAGATTATACCCCGTCGATATTGAATTCAGTCTAGATAGTTTTTTGTATCAAATTTGATTATTTCGGTTTGTGGATTAATTATTTAATGGGTTGTGTTTTTGGTTCGTTAAGTATCTGATTTGTTTCAATAGTTATAAATATGTATCTTTATCATTCTTGTCTTCACAATCTTCAAAATTTTAGAGTTGAAGACAAAAATAAGAATTTGAGAATTCTAGTGGCAATCTTAGAGAGTCAAGGGTAAACTTCTAGAGTGTGAGGAATTTGTGAAATCCTTAGAGATATCTAAGAGAGTTGAGAAGCACTTTTAAACACCTTAGACTTGTGTGATTCATAAAGTTGTAGAGATTGAAAAACAGTTGGGTTGAAAATATGATTTGTTCTTGAGAACTTAGGTGAACATTTTCTTGTAACTCATTTGTAACTTTTTAAACAATTTTTAGTAGTATAAGGAATTAGATAGCCGCTCTCTCTTTTAGAGTATATCGTTTGATCGAATTGAGTAAGCAAATTATTGTGTTTCTTGTCTTTTATCTTGTGCGAAGTTAAATTACTATCTTATTAGGTAAAGTTATTTTTGCTAAATGCCATTTATTTTGATTGTTATTGTTCTTTGTTTCCACATTAATTTTTTGTGTGTGGTTGAACCTTTCATTTCACAACAAATAGGGTCCAATGTGGGACAAAGAGATTTTTTTTTAGAAGTGAGCATCATGAATTTCAAATAGCAGATCGAGAAGTTTTTCGGAGACAATAATTTTAGAATGTGGAAAGTAAAGTTACAAAGAAAAGTGTAGTGAAGCATTGGAGGGTAATGCATTGATTCCCGCGTGTGTAATACAAGTAGAGAAGACTAATATGGTGGATAAGTCCAAAAGTGTCATTATCTTGTGCCTTGGGAAAAAATTTCTAAGGGAAGTCACATGGGAGAAAATTGCAGCTTTAATATGGGCAAAATTGAATCATTGTATATGACCATGTCTTGGACTCATAGGTTGTGCCTGAAACAACAACTTTACTAATTCTAAATGGTAGAAAGCAAATTCATAGTGGATCTTTTGACATGATTTCACAAGATCATTGATGATATGAAGCATATTGAAGTGAAAAATAAAGACGAGGACAATGTTTTGCTTTTGTTGAACTCGTTACCCTTTGAGCACTTACATGGTGCACTTCTTTAAGGTAAGTAAGATACTATTACTTTGGATGAATTCTAAAAGTCTCTAAGATCTAATGAATTTTCAAAGATGAAAGATTTGAATATTTACGATAATGGTGAATGTTTGAGAATCAGAGTGGTTTGATAAGTTAAGGTTAAAATGTTTTATTTGTCAAAAACTCAATCACTTCAAAAAGGATTATCGAGAGAGAGAGAGAGAGAGAGAGAGAGAGAGAGAGAGAGAGAGAGAGAGAGAGAGAGAGAGAGAGAGAGAGAGAGAGAGAGAGAGAGAGAGAGCAATGCATATTTTGTTAAAATTATTGTTTCCTTTTATGAGGATTGTTATGAGAGTACTAATGCATTAATGATGTCGAGTTTGAATACTTAAAGAGGGTTGGGTCATGGACTCAGGTTGCTCTTATCACATGTATTCAAGAAAAGAATACTTTGAGACTTAATAGCCGGAGGAATGTGGAATAGTTCACTTGGATCCCAATAAGAACTGGAAGTTTTATAGTATTTGTACAGTCAGATTTGAAAATAGTTGATAATCTTGAGTTTCTTCTTTATAAAGCGAGGTATGTTTCAAAATTCAAGTAAAATTTTTTATCAATAAAAATGTTTGATGATCTCAACTATTATACTAAAGTTGAATATGAGAGGTTGAAAATATACATGATAAGAATATAAAATTTGCACCTTATATATTTCACAGAAAATCAAATGCATGATTAATTTTTGTTTAGGCATCTTCTATATGAAATGCAAGAGCTTAAACGAGTGATTGACACATAAGTGATATGAGTTTCTCTAACATAATTTTTCAAATCATCATTTTATTTTTGTATATTCTCTATAGCACATTAATAAGTGGACGAACTTTATAATGTGTACAATACTTTAGTATGTAATTTACCTTGAGAGGAACTTACAATTATTCTGTTGTATCCAATTTGTGTAAACGGATAAAATATGAAATTATATCCTCACACATTTTGAAATTTTGTGCAGGGATAATCTTCTTGGTGCAGCATCTCCTATACGCAATAAGTGAAAATTAAGAAAACCTGTTCTATATATGTTTGTGTTTCTTTGATTATATATGATAATCCAATTAAAATATTCTCATTTAAATTAATAAAAGCATATTTCTTTCATTACATTATTTTTAAAACACACAACAACATTCAATTAAGAGAACATCAAAAGAAACAAGAAAAAAAATCCATCGTTTAATCTAATCTATTATTACAAAAGGCTTAAATATTTAATTGGTGAATAGTGAAACGATGGATTTGGATTAACTTATAAGAGAAGAACCTGGTACCTTAGAAGAGTTAACATGATGCAGGAGGTGATAAGCAGGCTTCACAAAGTAAACTCCATATTTTTCAAAATGCCAAGTTTTCTTATCCAGGGGTAATATCCGCGAGAGAGGAATGTTCAAAATTTGTTAGACATCATTAGGATGGAGGTGGGCTTTCAGTGTATTAGTTTTCCATACACGAAGGTCATCATTAATAAGGTCACAAACACGGTTAATATCTTTAGGATCAGGCAAAGGACTTCAAACCTTGAACCCTGATTTATTGGGCAACCACTTGTCTCCCTAAATGTGAACACTCTCACCGTTACCAATCCTTCATCTTGTTCCTTGTTCAACAACGTCCCTTGCACTGAGAATACTCCTCCAAACATAATTTGGATTGTGACCCAGGGAAGCCTCTGAAATTGTGCTACGAGGAAAGTACTTACCTTTGAGAATTCTGCTAAGCAAAGAATTGTCATAATTGAGAATCCTCCAATAGTGTTTGCCAAGTAATCTTTTATTAAAGTTACTAATACCACAAAACCCATATCCACCCTCCCTCTTAGCACAAGAAAGCTTCTCCCAAATCAGCCAGTGGATCTTCCTTTTACCTTCCTTCGTATCCCACCAAAACCTAGTAATCATTGCCTCTATCTCTTGGAAGTAGATTTCAGGAAGTTTATAACAACTCATGACATAACTAAGAATAACTCATGACCTAGCTAGCAAGTTTATAAAATATACTTGAATATGACTTAAAGTGAGTTTTAATTATTTAGTTTCAAACTCGATCTTAAATTCGGTTGAACATGGGATAACATCAATAAAGTTGAGAGAATTACGCTATGCACCCTTAGTGGTACTCATGTAAACTAGTGAAAATCAATAACGTCTTTAAAATTTGAAACTTAATCTTCGAACGCATTCAAAATGAAATCAAAGTCTAGTCTCAGACCTGCAAATACTAGGAGGATAAGCTCCATATTTTTTATGGAGATTAAGTTTTGTACGTGTTTGATTCATATAACGCGTCTGAACTTCCATCTTTTTTCTTCTTCATTTTGTTTCAGAAAGTTTACTCAGTATCCAACAGAGAGCTCGTGAGTAAACTCGATTTTCATCATTTTTCGAGCTTCCTCGCTACTTCTATTGCATTGAATTCAAGGCTAGGACATCTATTGTGAATTAGGATGCCTTAAAATAAAATATACTTGGTTTCTTTATAGGCAAGAAACATATAAAGGTTAGAGTTAAGGAAAAACAAGGAGAACAACAAGGATGAGTTATAACTGATATTGTTTTACTTTCTCTATAAAACATATTACAAGTACTCAAGAATAATGAATAACCCTCTCACCCTAATTACGTTTTGTCACACCACCCTTAAGATGAGAGACTAGTATGCTATTTATGATAAACCTAACATACTAAACTAATGGAAATTTGAACAATTATCCATTACAAGCTAACTTAGGGTACAAGATAACTTAAACAATTGGATTC